CGAAGCTGGGAGCCAGAGCCGGGCTTCACCGCTCTCCTGCAGCCAGAGGAAAGCGCAGCTGCTCCCTGCCGGTGCCGGGACGCTGCACATCCCCCCACCATATGGTTTTGCAATCGCTGGGCTCAGCACATGGGAAATGGGCTGCAAAGCCTTGCTTGGCCGCGGCTGAACTGTACCCCCAAACCCCTGGAAGCAGCTGCACCAGGGGAGCTCTTACAAGCTGTGCGGCGTAACCCATCTGCACGCAGGGAGCGAGCACGGAGGAGCAAATAATCATTAACCACCATGCCGCTGCGGGCCAAGGGGTAATAATTCACTCAAGAGTGGGGGGGAGAGATGGCCTGTGGGGCATTCCCATGGCTATCCCTGCCACAGATGGGGTGTCCACAGGCTGCAGCGACCTACAGGAGTCATATCGGGACCATCCCCAAACTCTCCCCCATCTGGTCCTGTAGGCTCCAGTGGGAAACAGTTTGTCCACCCCCTTGGGAAACTTCTGTGGCTTCAGACAAAAGCAGGACGTTTCAAAGCGTTTGTGGAAGGAAGGGAAAAAGAAAGAGAGCAAAGGAACACGGTGCTGTTGAAAAGCCTGGGGTTGGACATGCACCTAGTTCACAGAAAATGGCTCTGGCCGGAGGATCAGCCTGGCTACCCAGCACCTCTCTGACTAGGCATTTAAGCCAGGACTTTCCATGCTCTTACTGATGGATGCATCTTCAAAACCTATGCTTTCCTCTGAAAAATCTCCACCTCCCCCGTGGGCACTTCCAGGCCCAGATCCCACCCCACGCAGCACTGCTGAGGCAACACAGCAGCACTGTGCAGCTAGTGTGCCCCCCCCAGGGCTGTTGGACAGACAGACTGGCCAAACGGCCCGTTCGGGAGGAAACCAAGAGCCAGCCTGACTTCCCATGTCACTGCCCAATTCCTGCTTTGATCCTGTGACAGCAAAGCTTTGACACAGACCACACACTGGGTTATGGCCAAGGCAGAGCTCAACCCATGGCTGGCTCCTACCCTGGCTGACCAAAGGCAGAGCTACACTAAAAACAGTGTTATGTGTTCATCTGCACCGGTGGCACAAACGGAGGCTGCTCGGCACGGAAAAGACACAGATGCCTCTGTCACCCCGTGCTGCAATCCAGACCTGCCACTTTGTGCACACCTTAGCAGAAACGCTGTCCCAAATGTCCCCCTCTGGAGCACGCTGAGCCCTGGATGTTGTGGTTGCAAACGAAGTGAAACTCTCTGGGGTGAATGCTTACAGGAGAGTAACTGGGCTGAGACTCACTTGTTGTTCAACGCTCCTCCCTGGTCGCAGTCGCATGGCCGACATCCATCCATGTCATTGCTCAGGCCCCAGTGCTCAGGCTGCAGGAGGAAGTATCACCATGCTGTAACCCGGTGCCAATTTAACCTCATCTACCCCAAAGGGCCATTTTGAAATACTCAGCATAAGCCACCCCAGACTGTCCCCACAAACCATGAATCCTGCCCCCCTGGTTGTGGGGGTAGACCCACAACCACCAAAACAACCTCCTCGCTTGCTCTCCTCCACCTTGTTGACCGTCTCAGAGGCTTGAGAAAAAAAACCCATCTCTCCACCTTGTTTTAAAAGCAAGATTCAGGAGGACCCCAGCTAAGAGACCTCACTCCTACTGCACCATTTATACCAGTTTGGGCTCCCAACCCGTGAAGGGCTTGGAAAATCACAGTCCAGTACATCACTCTGCAGCAGAGAGCAGCGTTGTGGGGTGGCAGGGCTTTGCATGGGGCACTGCCCTTGCAGGGCTGCTACTCTGCAACTCGCTCAGCAGACAGACAGACAGATTTGTTTAGCTTTTCCATGTAGTCCACTGTCAGATAAGAGAGCTTGCCAGTGTTTATACAAACACATCCAGTTATCCAACAGTGTGTTTCTGTAACAGTCCAGCACACATATATGGAAATGTATATATACGAAATAATCCCTGCCTAAAATAACAGCCTGTATAGAAAGCAGTTTTTTTGGTAACACTGCTTCTCTGACCATTTTGTCTTCCACCCCAGTGAGGGCTCTGGCAGGACTGTCCCAGATCCCACATTTTCACAGAGCAACTGCAACAATTATCCTAATGTCTCGCTCCGTATCATCCCGGGAATTAATTTCTGGATGCTCTTGTCTGCCTTGACATGCCCCCCCAGCTCCCCGTAATGCAGTGTGCTTCACGGCTCCCGACACCCCGACATGCCCGCTCCAGCCTGAACGCCGGGCGCCTGCTCGCAGGCAGTCAGAGACGGCAGCCAGCACCGTGCTCCCTGCTTTCTGCACACCAGCCTTCCTCACACCAGCAGCTTCTCATTAATTTTATGGTAAACTACTTACCAGGCAGTGATTGCACTGCTTTCCTGTCACCAGGCGCTTACAATAGCAGTTTCCTGTCTCTGAATCACAAGGATTCCCCCCGGGATGGGTACCCAGAGGATTACACGCACAAGCTAGATTGGGAAATACAAACAGGCAGGTCAAAACACAGGATTGGAGTTACATTTTAAGCAGTATCCCACTTAAATATTTACACTAAAGCTTTTCCTAAATTCCCCAGGACAGAGATTAATTGCACACTTTGCCCACCGCCCATCCCAGTAAAACTTCCCTGGCTTAGAGACATAATTAAAGACAAGCAAGGAGGATTCTGCTATTTCCACTGAATGCACAGGAGGATCAGCTAGGGAACTGAGTTTTAAGGGCAGGTGGACTCCAAGCTACAGCAAACCTATAAGAATGTTTTTCCTTTAGCAAAAACATGAAACCTCCTGGGCCCCTTGGTTCAAGAAGGACATTGAGTTGCTGGAGCATGTCCAGAGAAGGGCAACAAAGCTGGTGAGGGGTCTGGAGCACAAGTCTGATGAGGAGCAGCTGAGGGAACTGGGGTTGTTTAGCCTGGAGAAAAGGAGGCTCAGGGGAGACCCTATCGCCCTCTACAACTGCCTGAAAGGAGGCTGTAGGGAGGCGGGTGTCGGTCTCTTGTCCCAAGGAACAAGCAATAGGATGAGAGGAAATGGCCTCAAGTCGTGCCAGGGGAGGTTTGGATTGGATATTAGGAAAAATTTCTTTACTGTAAGAGTGGTCAAGCACTGGAACAGGCTGCCCAGAGAGATGGTGAAGTCACCATCCCTGGAGGTGTTCAAAAAATGTGTAGGTGTGGCACTCCGGCACATGGTTTAGTAAGCACAGTGGTGTTGGGTTGACAGTTGGAATTTATGATCTTGGAGGTCTTTTCCAACCTAAATGATTTTGTGATTCTGTGAAACAAAGGGGAAAAAAACTACCCCACAAACCAGCTTCTCTTGGCTGTAGCAGCTCCTCAAAGAGCTTTTGATCACACATAAAGAAACATATGTTTTTACTCACGCTGACAACCCGCTGGGTCATCGGCACTCAGTCCATAGAAACCTTCTTTGCAGAGGTCACAACGCTCCCCTTCAACAAATAATTTACAACGGCATTGTCCGGCAATGAGGCCAGTGGAGAAATCAGTGTAGCGATCGCAGATGCCACCATTTTGGGAGCCAGCTGGGTCACAGTTGCAAGCTAAGAAGGAAGCATTGCATGTGTTTTATTAACTGCTACAAAAGAAAAGGCCAAGTCTCACACTGAATTATTTATACTCAGATGCTGTGTAGAAAGAGGGTATAACATTAGACATGACATGGGTTGAACATGTAGTGACCAGATAAGTTTCCAGATTCTCAAAGAGAAAACAAAACCAAGTCCGGCTCGCTCAAGTCCTCCAAGACAACCACGGATCTTTGTTCGGGAGCACGGCACTGACCGAAAGAAGGCCAGTAAATCCTAAATTCTTCATGGAAAGCCCTGGGGGGCCATGGCTGGGATGCCACGGCCTTTCCCATCCCAAGGAGTGGGGTTGCACTTACGCTCACAGACGTCAGGGTCCCGCAGATCTCTCTCTGGGTGCTGGAAGTAGAAGGGCTTGCACTGCTCGCAGTTGCGTCCTACGGTGTTGTGCTGGCAGTCGTCACACACTCCCCCGCTGGTATTCCCCGTCGTCATGTACACAGCCATGTCAAAGTGGCACTGGCTGGAGTGGCCGTTGCAGTTGCACTCTGAGACAAAGACAGAAAGCAGAGTAAGGGTCCGGTCCCAGGGGAGATGCAAGTTGTGCAGAAAAGACACACCAAAGTCAACTGAAGAACATGCAGGACTTTATATGTTGTCACAAGTTCCCAGGTAACAGCGTGTAATGCTCACACCAGACTCCAGATCTGCATTTTACCCAAACTCACTTTTGCATGCGTTACTATTGCGGCCTTCAGCGGGTCGCCAGGGCAAGTCATGGTAGAAATCCAAACACTGCTCACAGTTTAATCCTTTGGTATTATGTCTGCACATGCAGTGCCCATGGACCTGTCATTAAAAAAGGTAAAACAAAAAAAACAAAAAAAAAAAAGGGGGGGGGAAATACAGTTGATTAAAGAAGAGGAAGGTTAAAAAAAAATCCCATGCTCCAATTAATAGAGATAGTGCATAACAAATATACTTTTGGAGACTTTAATGCACATAACTGCATGTAAAAGGACATTAAAGGCTACAGGAGTGTCCTTTACCTGCCAAGGTAAGAATGTCCTCATATAAATTTGTCCTTTCCTGAATTGTTTCCTGAATAAACCAATGCCTGAATGAACGCTTTCAGACATGAACAAGGAGAGCACAGTTCCACCTAGATAATCACAAAAGCCTCTTAGGCCTAAAAGTTAGCTGTTTATGAGCTGTTAATTAGCTATTAACATGCATCTAGTTATATCAGCATGTCACTAGCCCAGAGCCTTCTTTCCAGCTCTACCTTGGTTCTCAAAGTAAAAATAAGAGACGGTTTGCATGGATTTTATCCATCAACCCCAGACTTTGCCTTCAACATGCACAGAAAAAGCACTAAGCCAACCCATAGTGACTTTGTGACAGCTGCTCGCTTAGACGACGGGGACTACCAGCACCGGAGCCAGGATTTTAAAGTCAAAGCCAGTCTTGCTGCTGCTCGGGTGGAGACACTCATGGGAAGTGCAGGGCACTGGAGCGTACCCACTCGCCCGCATCCCATGGCCCCTGGGGCAACCCACACAACCTCCTCGTATACTTCCACATTTTCATCCAGTTAATAACTCACTCATTAACAGGGGTGCTATTGCTGCTTGTCAGGCAAAAATCATGGGGAAAACCAGAACCCAGAAGGAACATGGCACTCATGCAGCAGCATGCAAGGCAGGGAGCAGGAGTTTCCTTCCAAGCCTGCTGTTAATTCGGGCTACAGCCTCCATTTCTCAGCTGATAATGACTGATACAAAAGCAGGTCATGTTTCATTCACAAAGATGCTTCATCCTTTGATGCTTCTGTTCGCTTGAATTTTAGGGCAACCAAGTTGACCCACACGCCCACCTCTGGCCCCATAGGGTTACGTTCCC